CCCTCCCTCCCTCCCTCCCTTTCTTTCTTTCTTTTTTTTTTTTTGAGACAGGGTTTCTCTGTGTAGCTCTGGCTGTCCTGGAACTCACTTTGTAGAAGACCAGGCTGGCCTTGAACTCAGAAATCCACCTGCCTCTGCCTCCCAAAGACTCATTTTCAGTATGACTCATTTGTCAAGTTTCATGTAACAGAATTTGAATAACGTTCCTAGTTGTCATGTGTTGAAAGGTATTTTTTTGTGTGTATACGAAATGACTCTTTTGATTTGTTTTGCCTTGTAGCTGAGATAGATAGAAGATAGGATATTGAGGGCATGGCACTAGTTGCGTCAGTGTTTGAAATTCATATTTGTAGAGACAATAGTGAGGTGGCCTGGACAGAAAGAAAGTCATGCTTGGAAACATAATAACTAATCAAAGTGATACTTCTTCCAGTTTGGTTTCATATTTTATCATATTGTGCTTTTTGAAAAGCTTTTAAAAATTTTAAATTAAATCTTAATTTTAATTTAAATTTTTTTAGCTATTGTGAATATGTTTATTTTTATGCTAATTTTGGACTTCTAAATCAGTATGTAACAATACTTACAGATTATTCATTGATATGCATCTGAGATGCATTATGTTGAAATATAATGGTATTATGCTAATAATTTACTTTTACTATCTGTGATTGAGTCAGTGATTCCATGTATTGTTTGGGGATGTTATTTGACAATAGATGTTAAAACAACAGTCTTTTAAACTATTAATTATATTTATTTGTTTCCCACATGTATTGTTTTGTCTTAGTTACTTCGTAAGAACTTTCCTGTGTGATTAAACAATTTATTAAGGTGTTGAATGCTCCTCATTTAGTATAAAAATAAATCACACCTATTTCTTTTTGGTATGAATTTCCAGAAATTGGAATGAAACTATACCAAAATACATATTTTTTAACCTAAATTGTTTTACTAAAATAAAGATTATTGCAGCATTGGATAATTAATACCTATTATTATATAGACAAAAATCATTTGATAAAAAATGTGTGCAGTATATTGCTGAATATGTAAACCTGAGGAGACTGTGACAAAGTCTTCCCTCAGTGTTGTAAGTCTAGTGCAGCATCTAATGATAGTAGGATACAGAAGATGTCCACCAGAGTCTGGTGCTGTGCCTCTGGCTATGAATTCTTGCCTCAGGGAACTAGTAAGGTACTCTGTTCTTTTGTGTAAATACTAAGTTAACTGCTGAGAGTTGAACAGGGGAGAGACCTGGCAAGCCATGGCTCTGTCACAGTCCATGTATTAGGAGCCATAGGCTTCTCCTCTGAAACCTTTGATCATGAGATCAGTTTCAGAATTTATTTGTAAAATAGTTTTACTTCCAGTGTTTAAATGTGTTAATGAGGCATTCATGTTTTCTGTATTTGCTGCTTATTTATGTTTTTAGTTCCTTAAGTCAGGACTTTGTAAAGTATGTATGAAGTATGATATTTATGTATATAGATATTGGTAGTTAAAAATTTGATGTCTGTGTGTGTGTGCATATATACATGTATATATGCACACACACATATGTATCTATGCACATGCACACATATGCATGTATATATGCATATGCACACACATGCATGTATATATATGCATATGCACACACATGTATGTATATATGCGTGCTCATAATGCTTTTTTTTTCCTTTCAGGGAGCCTGACAGATGAGGGACTCCAGTATTGTTGTAAACTAGTGGAAATGAATTCAAAAAGTGGTCCAGGCCTTATTGGCTTAGGCATTATAGCTTTACAAGACAAGAAGTATGAAGATGCTGTTAGTCATCTAACAGAAGGTAATGAATATACAGTGTGCAGCATTTAATATGGCGTATAGGTAATCAGTCCGTAGGGACAATTAGAGACACACACACACACACACACACACACACACACACACACACACTCTAGAGCCTGCTTCTTAGGTTTGAATTTCAAATTTTCAATGTAAGAGTGTGGAAAAGTTCAACTTTATGTGTCATAGTGATTTCCTTTGTACAATAGAGAAACTTTGAGGAAGCCGTAGAAGTAGAGAGGCTTAGCTTAATCATCCTAGGTGTGGTGTTTTGGATAAACTTACATTCAGGCTGAGATATGCCTGACAGAGTGAGGAAAGTTGATGAACTGTGTATGGGGGAGAGACAGTGAGGTCTAGGAGTGCATTTGAGGACTGGCAGAGCAAAGAAGAAAACTTGCTCAGGGCAGGTCTGTAAGGCTTGAGGATGGAGTCTGGGCATGGGAAAGGGCAGGAAGTGAAGTTGAGTGTGGCCTAGCAACATTGGTAAAAAGCTGATGTGGCCAGCTGAGGACAGCAGGAGTCCATGGAAGCTCTAAGCACAGAAATACTGTATTCTGATTGGTGGTTTTAGACAGCTGGGGCTAGGGAGGTAGATCAGTCAGGAAGTGCTTGTTGTGCATGTGTGGACTTGAGTTTGATTCCTGGAACCCATGGTATCTGTGATTACCTCATCCTTCTAGGCTTGAAGGAAAGCCCTCTCTGCATAGCTGGGTGGTATCATCTAGCAGAAGCCCAAGTCAAAATGCACAGACCTAAGGAAGCTATTCTTTCTTGCAATCAAGGTATTCTTGATGGACTTTGTGTTTGTACATAAGGGGGACCAACCAATGCTGTTTGTTTTGGTTGAACTTGAGAAAGATACTATTGTTACAATGATGGACTTTTTTTTTTTTTTTTTCATTTTAAATTTGTGGTTGATTTAAATTGCACCAAGGAAGAGAAATTGATGCTAAGTTTATATGCATGTCTGGTAGTATATTTATTTGTATAAATGTCTTCTAGTATATTTATCTTTAAGGTATGGACTTAGGTATGGATGTTTGGCCTTTCCAACAAGTAACTTTCTGGTTTGTTTAGAAGTTTCCTGAATTCTTAATGTCATAGATATAGATGAGAGATAATTCTTTGTTCTTGACCCAGTTAGTTGACAAACGTCTACATTTGATAGTGGATTCTAATTCAGCTTCTCTCTTCTTCTTCCACTGCCCTGAATTTGGTAGCTGCAGAGGACTAGTAGCCATTGTTATTCTTCAGTGTCTTCAATTTTATTACATACTATATGAAGATAGAGGTCTTAAATTCATGTGTTTAGTTTTAAATTCAGGTCTTTCCTAGAAGAATTTGGGAGTTTATTTGTGTTTAAATTATTCATTTCTATCTCTATATAATATATGTGTATATATATATTAGGAACTTTGCTCACTGTATGTGTAGTGTATTATGGTTTTGTTTTTAAAGAAAACCTTACATTTTTAAGATTGACTTTGTTATGTGTATGGGAAAGTCTGCATGTATGTCTATGCATCATTTCATGCATTGATTGTGGAGGGCAGAAGGAGGGGCATGGGGTCCCCTGGGACAGGAACTGTAGATGACTGTGAGCTGCCCTGTGGGTGCTGGAAATCAGACCTAGGCCTTTTGGAACAGCAGCCAGTGTTCTTAACTGCAGAGCCGATATGTCATTTTTTAAAAGTTATCTTTTAGCCCGCCTGCCTGCCTTCCTTCCTTCCTTTCTTCTTTCTTCCTTGCTTCTTTCCTTCCTTCCTTTCTCTGTATGTGTGCATGTATACATGGACACATGCTATAACATAAGTGTACAAGTCAGAGGATAACTTATAGAACTCTGTCTCTCTTACCTTGTGGTCATGGGCACTGCAGTAAGGCTGTCAGGCTGGTCAAGCACTGTTGTCTTTTAAGCTGTTGCATTGGCCCCATGCCGTTCTTAAAAAGCAAGCAAACTGAATCCCTGGAGCTTGAGTCCTATGTCCTTAATCTTGTCAGCTCTGAAGACCATAGATAACCTCGGTGCATCAAGTGGCAGTCTTCATCAGAAGAATCTTTGTCTTCGTCTGAAAGCAGAGGCTTTGCTTAAACTCTCAGATTGTGCATCTTCGGAGGAGGCAGTTCGTACCCTTGATCAGGTACGTAGTCTGAGCCTTCCCTTTCAGCTTCAGCGTCTAGGCACTGGGTACCAGCTTTCTCTCCTGTCCTCATGTTTACCACCATGCATTTTGAGTTACAGACACAAATTTAGTGTGTACCTTTCATACTCTTGAAATGCCTTGCTATTTGTATGCCTTGTGGTTAAATACTTAAGTACTTCTCATGAAGAATTTGTTTTAGTGCCTGTCCCCCTGACCAAGCCCGCTCAGTCAGTCAACAGGTTCTCCAGTGCAGGAGTGAGGATTAAAAGAAAAGAGACAGTTAGACAAAACTGTAGCGTGACCCCAGCCAGTTCTAAGGCTGAAGGCAGGTTCGTTTAATTCAACTTTTCTTTTAAACCCTTTTAATTACATGCAAGTAACTACATGCAAGGTCAGTTCTAGGTTTGAGGAACCAACATTACAATAGAAAGAAACAGTCAAGGAACAAACAAGGCAATATACAGAGTCCTGTGATCACCCCATGATCACTCTCATGATCGCTGGTTCTGAGGGCTCATCAGGATGACAAAGTATCTGAGCCTACTTCCCTGTCCTAGCCCACAGTCATATTCATGCCCGAGGCTTACCTCTTTGTTTTAGCCTAAGACTAGGATTCCTGACTGAATTTACTTCTCTGTTTTAGCCTAAAAATAGACTCCTGCCTGAACTTACTTCCTTGTCAAATCCTGCCCAAAGTCAGATTCTTGTCTAAAGCTCAATTCCTTGTCCTTGGCCAATGTCAGATTCCTGCCAAGCAGCCCCAAAGGCTTCCCACATCTCCCCCCTTTATATTATTTAACAAGACTGAGCCTGTCTTAAGTCATTCTGACAGCAATGCCCCCCTTAGCTGTCACTGAACATGTATTATCAAAAGCAATGCACTTCTGTCTTAGCTTGGTAAGGCGCTTTAGAAGGTTGCCCATCATTGGCTTGCCAGCCTGTTGATGTGGTTAAAGACAAGCTTTAACATGGCAAGCAGGAATAAAAATATTCCCAGGACAAAAAGGGCTAGCATGATCAAGCTATATATCCCATTCTTGAAGCGTGACCAAGATCGAAACACTGACATCAGGCCATGAATAATTTTATCAGCAGTATCGCTGGATCAAAGTTCAGTGGAGCAGCATTCTTTAAATTCACAATCTCAGTGTGTAAGGCTAAAACATCCAAAGAGGTGTTAGAATTATGCCAAATACCCTGTAAGTGTCTCTGAACCTTTTCCCAATTACAGTGTCTGTCATTGTAAATTTTAGCAGTAACACAAATCCATTGGTATTTGGCATGGCCCTCGAGATGGCTCCTTACATTTAAACCCTGAACCTCCTCTCCAATAATATGAACAGTATCATAAAGAGCATCAATCCGTTGTTCCAAACATCTATCTAAATTCTCTTGAATACTCAGAACATTAGTAACATTTTTTGCTAGATGATTAAAAAACATAGCTGTCTTAACTTCCTGTGTCAAAGCAATTGCGGAAGCAATGGTACTAGCTATCAATGTAATCAAAGCTGTTATACCAGCAATAATCAAGCCCATTACTCTCTTGCTTCTGCTTAAAGCATGACTCACTTCTTCCAATACTTGTAAACCTTTTTCAGAATACCAAGGTTTTGAAATACTAACTGGCAATAAAACAAAGGCTGGTTGATAGACCACCATAACAGACATGCCAGATTTCAACACACTAACACAATTAGAAAGTATACAATCAATACAACTTACATTGAATACAGTAGAAGAGATAAAAGTAATTTTAACATGACCAGTTAATAAAAGATTAGGAGCTTTAACACAAGCACTAACACTTGTTGTCAGTCCAGATCCTGTCTCAATGTTATCTATAGCCAGTGTGACTTCATAGAGAGCTGCTGTTAACTTCTAGACATGTCTCTGAAAATGTCCAGAACCAGCCTTCCAAATGAAGACTGTCATTTCCAATATTGGATTGATTTCTAAGCCAGTCCATGAATGAGTCAGAATAACTGGTCACATTAAAGGAAGTAGAAGAGTCATTATAACTTCTCTTTTTGATTCTCTGTCCCACAAGGTCTAAAAGCTTGAAGCAAGGCAGCTTGTCCAATCTGGGATATAGGCAAGCAAAGGTGGGTCAGGAACATATGTCCAATATAGCTTCCCAGTCACCATTGTCAGGGCAATCAGCAAGCCACAGGTCAGCATCATTCTTGGTCCCAGCATCAGCATGTCTCACCAATCATTCTGGCAGCTAGCATGTTCCTTCAGCATCCTGCAGAAGAAACACAAACATTCCCTCTTCCCCATATTAAATACCTGATCTGGATCATGGCATATGCCTGTAAGTGGATTGTTCCATTTCACCTAGGCATAAGTATGCCAAGTTGTAGGATGCCATAGACACTCAGTTCCTTGGCATCCAAATTTTGAAATTTTAAAATAAAACAACATGATTTAAATAAATTAGTGGTGTATGGGGATATAACTCTCTTTTTTATTTTATGAAGATATTGTTTTAAAGTTCTACAATACCTGTTTCTTAATATTTTGTCCTTGATTAAAAGGAATCCTAGTAACATGGGTAATATTAAATTGTTGACAAAAATCAAACATTTGACTGTAATAGCCAGTTCTATTTCTTGTTTTATCTGATTTGAAACAGCCAGCATAGAAAAACAATGTAGGCAATGACTAGTTACATTTTTAGTTGTTTTTCCTGTTAAAGCAGTTGTAACTAAAAAGCCTGAAAAGGTGTCAAGAGTCACATGTACATATTTTAATTTTTTAAAATCAAAAATGAGTAATGTCCATTTGTCATAATTGATTACACATAAGTCTTCAAGGCTTAACACCATTATGAAAAATTTGAGGACACTGAAAACAAGTTTTTGTAATTTAACTTGTACACTTTTTAGAAATGTCAAATTATTGTCTCAAGCTATTACTATTTTGACGATGTAAAGAATAAGATTGTATGGCCAATTGTCTCTGTAAGGTCTATAATTTGATTGGTATATAAATCTGTTCTGGCATTGCCCTGGGGTCCAGGCAATCCAATATGAGCCCTTGAATGTCTTATAAAGTTAAAGAACAGTACATGTTTCTTAAATTAACCTGTATTTGTAAAATTTGAGAATTAGCAATATCTAAAAAAGGAATAATTTTAAGCAATTATAAACCATGAGCCATATACTGGCTATGAGTATATAAATTGAAAGCTTGATTTTTCAGCATTTCAAACAGTGGCTACAGCATGTAATTCAATTATTTGTGCTGAAGCAGGGGGAAATTCAAGAGAGTGAACATGTGATATAACTATATATACTGTCTTCTCGATAGATGAAGCATCTGTAAATACAGTAAACATTTTCTATGGGCTGTATAGGCAAAGGACACTGTCAATAGGACAAAACGACAACCAACAAATTGGGAAAAGATCTTTACCAATCCTTCATCTGATAGAGGGCTAATATCCAATATATACAAAGAACTCAAGAAATTAGACTCCAGGCAACCAAATTACCCTATTAAAAAATGGGGTATAGAGCTTAACAAAGAATTTTCAACAGAAGAAACTCGAATGGCCGAGAAGCACCTAAAGAAATGCTCGGCATCCTTAGTCGTCAGGGAAATGCAAATCAAAACAACCCTGAGATTCCATCTCACACCAGTCAGAATGGCTAAGATTAAAAACTCAGGTGATAGTAGATGCTGGCGAGGGTGTGGAGAAAGAGGAACACTCCTCCATTGTTGGTGGGACTGCAAGATGGTGCAACCACTTTGGAAATCAGTGTGGCGGTTCCTCAGAAAATTGGACATAGCATTACCCGAGGATCCAGCTATACCACTCCTAGGCATATACCCAGAAGGTGCTCGAACATATAATAAGGACATATGCTCAACTATGTTCATAGCAGCCTTATTTATAATAGCCAGGAGCTGGAAAGAACCCAGATGTCCTTCAACTGAGGAATGGATTAAAAAAATGTGGTATATTTACACAATGGAGTATTACTCAGCTATTAAAAACAATGAATTTGAGAGGTTCCTAGGTAAATGGATGGAACTAGAAATTATCATACTGAGTGAGGTAAGCCAATCACAAAAGAACACACATGGTATTCACTCACTGATTATTGGATATTAGCCCAGAACCTTAAAATGCCCAAGATGCAACTCACAGGCCACATGAAGTCCATAAAGAATGAAGACCAAGTGGGGGTGATTCGGTCCTTCTTAGAAGGAGCAACAAAATACTCAAGGGAGCAAATATGGAGACAAAGCGAGGGACAAAAACTGAAGGAGGGGCCGTCTGAAGACCTTTCCACCTGAGTATCCATCCCATGTGCAGTCACCAAAGGTAGATGCTGATGTGGAAGTCAGGAAGTGCATGCTGATAAGAGCCTGATATGGATGTCTCCTCAGAGGTCTTCAAGAGTCTGACATATTCAGAGGCAGATGCTCACAACTAGCCATTGAAGTGATCATGGGGTTCTCAATGGAGGAGTTAGAGTGAAGACTGAAGGAGCTGAAAGGATTTGTGGCCCCATGAGGAGAGCAACAATACCAACCAACCACAGCTCCCAGGGTCTAAACCACCAGCCTGGGAGCACTTATGGAGGGATCCAGGGCCTTAGCTGAATATATAAGAGTGGAGGGCCCTGCTGGGCACAGATGGAAGATGAGATCCTTGACCTCATGAAGGCTGGACGCCCCAGGGGGTGGGAGTTTTGAGGGTGGGGAGGTGGGAGTGGGGGGGTAGATAGAGGTTACATCCACAAAGAAGAAGGAGGAGGTGTGAGGGGATTGGGGGTTCCTGGGTGGGTGGGGGATGGGGTAAGGGGACAACATATGAAATGTAAATAAAACATCCAATAAAAAAAAAAAAAAGAATACAAAAGCATGCATAGAGGAACTGTAACAACTCATCTTATGGATAATTATTATCAAATTTGCCTAAAAACTTTGTCATGTAATAAGCCAAATATCATTATTTTCCAATAACCAACTTAATTTCTATT